TCATTTTGTTTCAAAGCAAGTTGGTGTCATTAGCTGAAGAAAATTATACCACATCATTATTGTTCTTTACCGTGGTTTTTAAGATATAATTTTTGACAAAGGACAAAAGATTTACACATTCTTCTACGTAATTACGATTATCTATAATGACATCGCAATGACATACTTTACCTAATTCTTCCGGTATTTCATAACATGGTAGATTAGAGACATGTTTTTAGACCTCAAACTATTCTCCTTTATAAACGAAAATAAAAACACGAAAATTGATGAAATCGTCTTAATTTTGATGTGCTTTTGTAGGACATATTTTTCTCAGAGTCGAGACTATTTTACAGTGTTTCCCCAAAAATAGGACATGGTCTCATTTCAATTTTCTTTCGAAAAATGACACTATGGCTTAATTTTGGGGATGTCTTTTAGGGGCTCCCGAAGTATGCAAACCAAGATGGCGGACATCGGAATGTAATATGTGTACTAGGTTAGGGTTAGGCCATAATTTTAGCTATAAATACTACGGGAGGCTCTTGGCTAGTCTTCGAACTGATAATAGGACTAAAATAAGGAAAATTGGAAAAAAAATTATGGCCTAACCCTAACCTGTTACCCATGTTACGTTCCGATGTCCGCCATCTTGGTTCGCATACTTCGGGAGCACCGTCTTTTATTTTCACTTATCAAAAAAAATGACAAAGTAAAGAATTACGAGATTTTCAAATATACAAAATATGAAAACAGATATCTATTTACGTATAAATGCCGTATTTTCATCGACTAAGACTAGGTCTTATTTTAAGGGGAAGGAGTATATTAAAATCATTTCTAAAATTAGGGCTAGGTCTTATTTTCGGGAAAACACGGTATTTTCTTTTCGCAAACACAATGTTCTCCGTATTATAGCTATTTATCACTTTCTTATTTTTTTTTGTCATACTAAAGTGTATTAAACAACAAAAATAATGTTTTTCAACCCATAATTTTGGGAAATAGGCTCAGCTGATTAGCGTACTCACAATGTTGCCGTTACAAATAATAAAAAATAAAAACCTTTACCCGCCATCTCGCCCAGGAAGTAATAAATTGGTTATAGGAGGTACGGAACCAGACAAATCATGGCGCCCTAATATCACTTTGCTTAGGTATTGAAGTGTAAGTTTTGAAAGTTTAAAATTGATTGCTCCATCATTACGAAAAAAAGCAATTTTTTCCGCCAAAAAGTCGCCCAACAACAACGATTTTACGAAGCAATCCATAAGGACGCTTCGTGCACAATAAATATTATTTTCCATGTTTTTAAAATATCTTTGGAATGAGGTAATCGTTGTTTTGGCGAAAATTCCACCCCATCAGCAAAATTATCAGCCATAACGTCTGGTAACTGGCAAAAACAAACAAGTTACAAAAAATGTGAACAATTTGACGATGAGAGTCACAAGTTGGAGATAAAAACTAAAACTAAAACAAACTATTATGCAGAAATACCGAGGGAAAATCACACAAAGTGACGTCATACTTCAAAAGCTACGTCATAAAACGAGAGCTCAGAAATCAATTATTAGGTTGCTATTAGAAAAGTCCCCAGTATATGACGTCATAAATATTGAGTTACGTCATAAAACACGATTCCACTCTGACAATGACGTCATAATGCAAAACCGTGATGTATTATCTCTCATAATCGTCTTAAAAGATCTCATTTTTCAATCAGGGGATGTTTATATACAAAATATGCCGGTTCGATAACAAAGCTTCTATCTCTGATATAACTATTAAATTAGACGTGTGGCCCATGCCAAAAGTATATATTTATACTGTATTTTCACTTCTCCACTCCGAACAAGTCATTGTACAAGCAGCACTAATATTCAAAATGTCAGCTTTTGAGGGATTCAACTAAATCGAGGGTTGGTAGCCAGTGCATCTCTAGCATTGAGCAGTAAACTAGTAACTTATTGGACACAAAATGTACATATTTTTTGTTCTGTTATTATGTTGTGTTCTTGTTGGTATTTTCTTCTTGTTGTGAAAAAGAAAACGTTTTTCTCTTTAACTGATGAACAGATTAGCTTTGAAATTTTTAGTTGTTAAAGTTTGTATTTTCCTAGAAGGCTGATACTTTTATTTATTCCGAAAAATTTCTTTGACCTCTATGGGGTTCGTTTTGTAGTGTGCGAAGACGTCATCAAATTAAAAATTGCGCTTCTTGTGGCGGTTCCGCGTTCGCGTAAGCTGTTTTCGTGGTCAGCTGCTTTACGTTACCGGTAGACTACTGTGGCAGATTGTACATACATTTGAGCATCGCTCTCATGTTTCTCAATGGCTAACAACCCATTTAAGGTCGCTTCCAATTTGCCATAATCGTCTCAAAAGATCTTACTTTTCAGTCAAGGCGATGTTTATATGTAAAATAGGTCCGTTTGATAACAATTGAGATACCGCACGTCCTTATATAAACCATAACAGAGCAAAGCTTACAATAAAAGCGCATTACTATCAACAGATAAGTGGCGATCAATAAGTTATATTGGCACAGAAATGGTACTTCAGTGTTTTTGAAAAAAGTCAGAGGTGACGTCATAATTCAAAAGTTACTTCATATGACTATAAAACAAGACTTCACAAACCAATTAAGTGAATGCCATTATTAAAGAACATATACAGAAGGTTACGTCATAATTTGCGTAATACAATATGAGATTGTGACACGGATCCGAGACCCGATCCTTCGATAATGCTGCTTCAGCAAATGATTTATGACAGGTAATTGTAATTTTGACACGGTAAACTCAATAATGCTTTTTTTTTAGATCCTTTATTGCTTGTCTTACAAGCACCGGACATCTTTTGTAAACTGGGCGAAAGAAAACTGTACTACTTGACGTCACAAATTAAAATTTGACGTCACAATATAGCTCCAAATTCCATGATTTTAAAACAATTACATTAAAAATGTGATGTAATTGTTCCATATAAAGACGTTAAACGGCTGAAGACAATTTCCCTAATGCTGTTTGAATCGGCAATTTATGACAGGTATAAGTAATTTCGACACGGTATATTATCTACTATTTTTTTAACAGTGATCGCAGGAAATTAATGGAATTTTGGTGCAAAAAAAATTGTATTTTCTAGTTCTATTAGTTTCTTTTAAAATCTGATATAAATTTCCCCTGAGGGACTTGATAACTTGCAATAACTGCAAACTGTAAAAATCGTGCCGGTACGCGCATTGACGTCCTGACAGTTTGTTTACTATTGTGACAACATAGTCCCTGTATCGTTTATGAAGTCATAATAAATAATTAATCCTTGAAGAGAATTTTTTAAATAAATCGTTCGCCGAATTAAGAGTTTAATTTTCTTGAATAATAAATAGGCTTTCTTAGTTTTTTGTTGGAGAGAGCGCGCAGGTTTAGCAAGTTGCCTCTAATTATATTGGCAAAGTATGTTAAAGATTCCTTATTGGCTTATTTATTCGTTTTCAAAAGTTTGTACCATTCCCAAATTTTGTTATGCATGACTGCTTTTCGGAATCAAAACTCGGTACTCCCGTAGTGTGTGTACCTGGTTAGGGCTAGGCCATAATTTTATTCCTATTTTCCTTATCATGGTTCTATTTCAAGTTCGGGGACTGTCTGTGTTAGCCAAGTGGAATCGCGATGGCTGTCTTTCACGTTTTTATGACATCGTGACGGCTGGTACCGGTAGTCTACTGTGAAAAATTGCATACCCGTACTACGGCGTTCAGGACTTCGTGTCCATATATCTGAGCATTCCTTTCTTGTCTTCTACAAAAATATTCAGTTGTTCATTTCAATCGGCTTTAGTAGAGCCGAGTTTTAAAGGCCCGTTCAATACCATTCCTTACAACAGGGGTGCGCGAACCTGTGACACGCGGGCCAAAGAGGCCGACATGAAAAATTTGTGTGGCCCGCTAGCCGAGTTTTCAATTTAGTTTAATCAGGTACGTGCGAATAATTTCAATCCTTTTGCGTTGCAAAGCCCATACCTTAGTCCAATTTATTATCTATGCCAACGGTGCACAACCTGCGGCCGTCGTGAAAAAATAATGCGGCCGTCCACATACAAAATCCTATAAATAAAAAACAAAAAAAGAGTTCAAAATGAGAGATTTGACGGCTTTGTTTTGCAAACTTTTATAGAATAAATTCATTTATATATATTATATATATATTATTATAATATTTGACATTTTATTAAACTTTTGTGGACAAGAAAATGGGGGCGACCGCCCCTCACCGACTTCGATATTTTTCAAAATTGTGCAACCACTATGCAATTTGCTGCAATATATATGCTCAAAAATAGGTCCGCCGAAAAGAAAAATCCGTTTAAAATGCGAATATTATACCTTCAAGTAGTGTTACATACTTCATAATGGGCATGGGCAGACTAAACCTCGCATGGGTCAAATACGCGGTTATGACTTCAGAAAAGCCCAAACAAAAAATTTTGCTCATCAACCCCCTGGAGGCCATATTGAATACAAACAAATGCAATGTGGCCGCCAATAGCAAAAAGGTTGTGCACCCCTGATCTACGCCTATGACGTTACAATGCCTTAATAACAGCGAGCTTTTGCGAAGCAAACAACGCATGTCATGAGATCAATAACCTGATAACTACTAGAATGGCTATGAATAAATAAAGGTGCAGTCCGCGATTTCACACAGTTATTTGGGTAGTAGATGAACCAAGATGGCGGACACCGTAACGTAGTATGTATACCAGGTTAGAGTTAGGCCATAATTCTATTTCAATTTTTTTTATTTTAGTTCTATTACGAGTTCGGGGACTAGCCAAGTGACTCCCGTTTTATTTGTACCTGAAATTATGGCCTAACCCCAACCTGGTACACGTACTACGTTGCGGTGTCCGCCATCTTAGTTCACATACTACGGGAGTACTGTTATTTATATCTGACTCCCGTGTATTAAATGTCGCACAGCCTTACCCTACAACCCGCTATAAACACACGATTTGCGTTTTCAAGTGATTTGTATTTGAAAAGCTTCATGGTGGGAATGGGTATATATGTCAAGGCATTAGAAATAATAAACAAACAAGAATAAAAATTAAAAATAAATAAGAAGATCGCGTATGTACAGGCAGTCATCCCAAGTATGGGTGTAAAGTCTTTAAGGTGGCATAAAATTTTTAAGAAAAATCAGAAAATGTAACGGATTTTATCGTATTATACGAAATATATATATATGGTATCCCCACAAGGGGATAAAGACAATTTCTTGAGTGGGTGTGAAGCCAATTGATAATGAAAATATTTGTTGGATTTGATTTTGCCCGTCTTATTTCGAATATTTACAACTCTTTATTTTGAATATTTACGTTCCATCCACGTGATTTCAACGTGTTTTTAGGATAAAAAAATTGTAACCTATTATTAGCTCATTATATTTGTAAAATTTATTTCAAAGCTATGTATGCTTTTTACATATACATAATTCGAACAGGAAAAAAGACAAAAATAAAAATTTTCTGCAATCGAATATATTATCACGTAACAACAACTAAGATTCACTATTTTATTTTTAATTATTACGCAATATTTACAGCTCAGTAAATAACAATAAAACATAAATTTAAAAAGGTGAAACGCTGAAAATCGCGTTGAGCGAAAAAGGCAGTTTTTAAAAAGTTCTGGCACATTTTGATAATGGAACTTAATTACGTACAGTGTTAAGAATGTTGTTGACGTTTTGATGACGTTATATACGATTATTACGTAGTTACGTACGTCATGTAATCTCCGTCATTATCAGAGTTTTCATTATCGCTAGCGCCAGCTAATTCAAAACGCGAACTCAATAAAGTGTCTTTTTCACTGGAAGGCAAAGTAGCACAGTCTGGTGTGTCGGGGCTGTATCCCGAATCTATTGAATTTTCTGACACTGACCCCCTGCGGTCAAGCCCAACCGGAAGTGAAACAGGAACCTCCCGCGATTCTCTATTGTCTCCATTTGTACATTTTTCGTGTGTTTGTGCATTCTTGCATGAAGGGCACATCGTCATTATGACGACGCGTGACGATTCGCCAGCGAAATGTGAATAATCGTTTATGTCATCACATTTAATTGGAGACTCTTTTTTTATTGCGTCATAAACGTTTATTGGTTGTCGTTGTGTGACGTCTTCTGTTGCCATGGATACGAACATGGTCATATTCTGAGAGAAATCTTTGTTAAAAGATGGCGCGTGTGTTACGTAATCAGGCATTCCGTCAGATATTGCGTCACTATCCATCATCTGTTTCTGCCATTGTTTGAACTTTTCCTCATCGAAATCTTCTGATGACGTAATGTCTCCTGTGACGTCACTTAGATCATTTGTGAACGCTGATTCTATTCCAGTGTCATCCGTCACGTAGTCGCTCATGGTCCTAAAAATTTTACATCGTAAATAACATTTCAAAAATTGAGACGAATGCGATGCCAAGTGTTGAAAATTAGGGATGATCGTATCATTGAAATCTGTGGTAGACTACGTCGATATGTTTCCCGGCTTTTTATTTCAGGGGGGTCAGATATTTTGTTGGTAATGATAAAACTATTTTTAACATTTGAAAATGTGTTATGTATTTGACTAATCATCTCCATCGGCATATGAGCCACTTTCTAAATATTCAAATACATTTTTATTTACGTTAAGAATTAATTAAGTATGGTGTCACACCTATATTTGGGGAGGAGGTTTGAAATTTTAGGGGTATGTGGAAAAATTATTGGACTAGGCTGAAATTAAGTATCAGGTTTTCAACAGCTTTTGGTAAAATTTTTTAATTAAAATGATAGTCAGGAATCAAGTAAACCAGGAAGAAGGAAGAGAATTATTTTCGAGGGAAAGGTCGAGGAAACATTCATGGATGTGCAACAAGACATAAATACAGAAAATAGAAAGTGTTATTCACGAACCTATCCAGGCTTCCAAGTATTGTGACGTCATTCTTGTCGTTTGTAAAAAGATAGCTCGGCATGTCACTGTCTTGAGGTCCCAACTTTACATATTTTACAGATCCAAAATTTTTCACAATTGCCTGTATATCCTCCTGAGATTTCAATTTCCATGGGTTCCTGTTTTGAAGCGATACACTATTGTTACGTGTGGTGACGTCATCAAAGATTAGGACGTCACGTGGCGATGACGTTGAAGGTTCTTCATCGTGCCCATCCACGCTATCCAATATCTCGTTTAGAGAAAAGGTGTCGTCCAAATTTTTGGATGAAGACAGGAGTCGTTGTCGTCCGAAATCGGCGTCTCGTTCTTCCCGGCGAGATAAAGCGAAATACCGAGTGTGGTTATTGTTGTTGTTGGATGGATTGTTCGGAACAGCAGCTACTGGCTTCTGTAGCATGTGCTGTGTGATGGGACAAGGTACTTCTGCTCCTTTTTCACATTGGCCATCAGATTTTTCCTTTAAAGAAAAATAAATTTTCAGCAAGTTTGCTTAAATCAAGTTGCCGCTTTCTCCAAGCCTCCACTGAAGTATAAGACTTCAAGTTTCAAATATGGCACTATTTTGTTATGTTATTACTTATGTATTATGACGCCACAGTTAAATTATTACGTCATTTTATTATGAAGTAACCTTCGTATTATGTCGTTTTGAGTTATAATACCACAGTTCAATTATGACGTAAGTCAATTATGATGTCACCTTGCATTATGTAATCAAGTATTTAAAAATTTTTACTCCCCATCATCGAGATCCGTTTACAATGCTAATTATCTTAGTATTATTAAAGTAACTTACATTAGTATTTGGGAAAAGTCCGGGGTCGTGAATGCTTTCATCCTTGAAGTTGACAAACAATTTCGGACCTGAGAACTTAATTTTACTGAGGCAACAGCAATATCGTCTCCATTGGAAGAAGTATCCAGCGATCGCTAGAGCGACTACGATGATGAATGACGTCACTGCTGACGCAATGATGACTTTCTTCGATACTTGTACCGGTCGGATGACATCATTGATACGATTTGATGACGTGAAAGGTTCTAAATATGATATCTTAATGTAATCACAGCAGTAAGTGGTCGAGATGAACTACCATGATCAACTAACTATTGCCCAAACACTCTACATGAAATATTATAGCAACAGTATATATTGGTATTATTTGAATAATTATAAAAATAAAAATAATCAAAAAACAAAGAAAGTTTTGAAAACAAAATCCGATATTTTAATAAAAGTTTAAAACGGGGTTAATTTTGCTACATATGGCCTTGTAAGTAGGTGCCGTGATTTGCAAATTTTTAACACCATCTTGTTCTATTCCTATAAATTTTTACTTATATTACTGGAATTTAATTTATTTAACGCATTATTTGCTTTGAATTTGTATATTTCTTGTTTTTAAGCCTTTCTAAGATTAGATTTTCTTCTAAAAAAGTTTTTCAGACGAATGTACAGTTTCTTATACTTACCGTTTATTTTTGTGTCTTCCTTGAGATCGACAAGTGTAACTGTAAAAAAAAAAAATTAGTTACGAAATTGCTAATAGGATAACGTAGTTGGAGTAAGGTATATTAAAATGAATCAGGGGTTTCAGGATTCAAGTGATTACTGTATAAGGCACTGGTTTCCAAAGTTGATTGACCGTTAACCAAAATTAAAAGCGGAAGTATATTCGTGGGTCGGAAGAGGGGAGCGCCGCAAGTGGCCGATATCGGTATTGATATGTATAATTAAAATACCGGTATAATTGAATCGTTACCCTATACACGTGCCTTAACTTAATAATGACGTAACAACAATAAACTATTTTACTTAAGCTCGGCGGGCCATATTGAATCGTTGAGCAGGCCGTAATTGGCCCGTGAGCCGCGGTTGGGAACCACTACTATAGGATGTTTCATCCCCCATATCCAATCAAAGTTTTGAATCTATATCCACTTATCCATAGGTGGATACCCAAATGAGAAGAATCATCTTAGGGCTTTTGTGTAGCTTGCTCAATTTATTACAGCCTTAGTATGCAAGGGCTCAAATCATGTTTAACTTCTGCCGACATAGTTGAGCTAAAAGAATTGTTATGGATGATGAAATCCCAGCAACATGAGTATTGATAAGATCTGGATTTCATGTCCGGACCACGATTTTTTTTTCTATATTTAACACAGCACAACAGAGAAATATTAAACACAATCAGTTGCACGAGCAACGCTGAAGAATGTTCAGGTATATTAGTAGGATCAGTAACTAGGCTAACTTAAGTCCATGGTAGTATAAGGTGAGAACAGTTTGAAGTAAACAAATGAATGAAACCTCACCTTCTGAGGTTATTCTTGCCGTCTTTGGCACCATAAAGACCAAAACATTCGATGGACGAGTCCACTCTCGTTCGGCATCAGCTTCTGATGGATCCATAGAGGCAGAGACGCGGAGTTCATACGTTGAACCCGGAACTAGTGTCGGCAGGAAGGCACTTGTTTCCGGACCAATATACCAATCCTGAAAAATGAATTTTTATTTTTACTTATTTTATGTAGTCGAGTTTAATGAAAATTTAAGTCTTTAATGAAATTGGAACTCGGGTGATCCTTAACAGTGAATAGGACAGATACATAAATATCATGTCTATACCAAATAACTTTGCGTATGTTATTTATTTTTAATATTAATGCAATACTTGTTTTCTGGTTGACAAAATTATAAATCTCTTTCTATGTTGGCATTCAAAGACTGACATTTCGTGTACAAGCACTGAATATTTATCGTTCGACCCGATCCTATTCTAGACAAGATGAGACATGGTATACCTTAATCGTAGCTCCCGATACATTTGAAAGCAGATTGTACTGAATCTTATTAAAAGCCAAAATGTAAAACACATCAATGACAATAAAAATATCAACATTGCTTGTTGGTATTTATAGCTAAAATAACTCATAGAAAAGTGGAAATACACATTTTTCTGAAGACAACTAAAACGGTAACAAACCTCCCAACCGGTAGCTCTTTCTCCGTTCAATAGTTCTCTGTACTCTACTTTATAAAGAACTTTCCTTCTATGTAAAGCAAAGCTCAACATTGAATCCATTCTCTCAGGTTCTTCCCATGTTAGTCTTTCCCCATCGTCCACGATTTGAAGCGAGGAAGGAGGAATGGTCAGTTTTACTGTGAAAATTAGAAAGTGTTAGTTTTGATATATATGTGTACATATTTATGAACAGAACGTTAAGGTAGAAAAACGAATGTGCTTGCAAACAAAAGCATCTGAAACGTAGCCTACAGTATACAGTGAAGCCTGCAGTATCCCATATCCGACATGGAGTGGTAACCAAACGGAATGCCGTGGTTCGCCATATGATTGAGTCGTCTTATCGGCTTTCCTCTCCCCGGCACAAATATGTAAGTCACATTCTATTCAGCATATGTATATATTACAGGGGTCTCCTTTTACTTACTTAGCAAACAAACTATTTAAAAAATATATACTTATATCTCGGCTTACCATTTGATCCCATACAGGTAAAATCAATCTCTTTGCTTTTGGCAAACGACTGACAAACTCCGGTTATTGCATCACAATCATGTACAGACGCAACCCACAATGTAAATTTTCCGTACATTGTTCCATGAATGCCACAACTTTCTGTTATGACATCACCATCGATGCTTTGTTCTGTCACAGAGCAGTATTTGTCAAGCCTTACTTCATGAGCGTCGGCAGCTGAGATGTAACCAAGCCTGAAAATAGAGTTAACCTATATCAGTTATGGAGTTTTGAAAGTAGAATATGGTAGGTTTTAGTCAGTTTTAACTTTTAGTCTGGCTTCGATACTGTTTGGTTACCGTCAGTATTTGGCATTGTTACCGCTATAATTTCGACTTTAGTAGCGTTCGCCTTAGTACTTATACTTTTTGTATAACTACCATTATGCTTAATCAAGGCTTCCAAAACTTTTAAGCTTGCGACCTCTTTCAATATGATAAATTTTTTCGCGACCCCGTTTCGAGTAGCGCGCCGCGTCTTTGATCCTATGTATTCTCTCGAAATTGTAAATTCGAGTTTTGCACTAGTTTTAATAATTGTGTTTCGAATCAAAAGTCTAAAAATGTACAACAAACATAGTACTTTGTATATTGCGCCCCCTGAAGTATGTTGTGCGCCCTCTTTGGGGTTGCGTCCCCCAGTTTGGGAAACTTTGTGCTGAATTAGTTTAGGGACAATGGAAGAACAGCACTCAAACGAAATGAAGGAAAAATAGATCACAGAGTAAGCCATGTGACAATAACATGATATCACCGTCACCAACACAGTTATAATACAAAATTTGGACCTCCAGAAGTATGCGCACCAAGATGGCGCACAACCTGAACATAGTATTGAGTACTGTACCGGTTAGGATTCAGGTTGTGCGACATCTTGGTGCGCATACTTCTGGAGCACCCAAAATTTTCTGTTCCAATACTTTTTAATGTAGTCAAGATTAACCGACTTTGTAGTAAGAGACTAAGGCCAGAATTCCGCCTTAACACACGATTATATAAATTCGTATTAAAATTATAAGGCTTCAGGCGAATTAGACCTCGTATTAAAAGATTGCATAACAAATTAAATTAATTTTAAAATTCTGTCTTGAAAACCGCCATTTTGCGGCACGGATTATTATAATAATAACGTGTGGCATGAACTGGCGTAATTGGAATTTTGTACAAAGATGAGAAAGAGAATTGAAATAAATTGAAGTTAAGGAATGTAACTTCGTCGTACTCTTGTAAATTCCATGGAATATTGGGAATAGATCTTGAAACGACATTTTATTTTAATTGTCACACCACTAGTGTTTACCGGCTATTCTTTCGGCAGTACTTTATTTTTTCAGCTGTTTTCGATCGTTATCGAAGCCCTACATTTAAAGAAAAAGCTAAAATACCTAAAATCTGAAGCAGTGTCTCCTTTTGGTCGCTTCCACCAGCATGTGACGTAATATGCGTTGACGTAGGCACAATTTTCTATCTCCGGAACTTCTGAGAGATCTGTGAAATAGTAGAAAAATCTGGTTAAGTTGTGTTCAAAGTTCAACAACATTAACTCGGAAGTTAGTTTTTTGAATTAAACACGGAGTAATATTTAAATCTAATGGATGTTGCGGACCTATTTTGTAATTGGGCACATATACAAAACCATGTTAGCCTTATGTGCAAATGTATCAAATATTATATTTGGATAACTTTTATACGTTCGGAGCTTTTCCGATGTTTTTTTCGAGCGGTGATATTCTTTAAAGAGGTACCATGTCGTAATGACAAAAATTTTCGAGACGATAATATAAGTTTTAAGTTATATAATGACTAATTTAAACATTTGGATGATGGTTTTACAACAGACAGTGACCCGTAATTTCGGTCAGCCGATATGTCTCAATTCAAGGTCAAATATTATAATTTCAAGGTCATAACATATGACCTATTACGTAAGAAATCCGATACAGTCGATTCACGTCGCTTAAGGACATAAATTTGAAACGTAAAAAATTATAACACCCGTGATTATTAGAGTAGTTCTTTGTGCAAAAGTCTTTTTATTTGAAGCAAATTTATCATTTTTTTAAATAAAATTTGATGAGTTATGCTTGATTCAAAGCTGTATAAATTAATATGTATATTCTCGCATATAAGCCGAGTGTAAACTGAATAAAAAGTTGTCAAACTGAGAAGTCAGCTTATGCACGCATAACTCTGATCACAGACTGATCATATATACGTTGCGTATGGCGTGTTAGGGTTTGTAGGATCGGCTTATAGTCAGGTCGGCAGTCAGCATACTAGGCAGGATTCATGGATTAGGTTGATGTGAAACTTTGTGGAAATAATTAAAATTGGGAACAATTAGTCATATGGATATATTGTATAACTTTATGGAAATGATTAAAATAACCATACAAAGGGGGATTTGCGGCGAAAATGATGGTTAACGCTTCATTCACTTAAGGTTAAAAACACTTGGCAAATACCTCATAAGAATTAGTACAAAATTAGAAAATTTTCAATGATTCATTTTTTTAAAATGAACTAATAAACACAGACCTTCAGGCTGTTATTCTATTTTGAATGAAGTTCAGAGACTTTGGTAACAAAAAATTAATATCAACAACAAAACTTCATAACATTCATTCGCTCTGAATCACCGCAGAAGATTAGAAAACCACACTACGACTGTCATCGACGTCCGTGCTTCATAGTACTATATCGTAATATTACCTAACCACAAATTTTAGTTTTGTTTTAGTTCATTTTATGTTAGGTTTGAAATGGGTTCTATTATAATAAGAGGCTCTCAAATTAAGGTGTTATGGTGGCTGACTAATATTTACGAGGTCCCTCAATAATTTAAAAAAAAATACAAACAAAAAACACATTTTTACTTAACGATTATCGTTTCTGAGTAAATTAAAATCACTCTACCTAATGACTCAGATGTAGTTGCTTCTTTTTTTAAAAAAATATTTCATTAATGCCACTATTGCTTATTTGGACAGTTACAAAATTGGAGGATCTTTTCTCCAAAACGGCTATGTGGAAATAGTCACTATTTAGAAACTATGAGTTGATTTAACAATTTGTTTACAATTGTTTTAATTCACAAATTCTTTGTTTTAAAATTTATTAAATTTGACGTCACTACACTTCCCCTCGGGCAACCAATAGCATTTGAATATAATTGTGAACGCCCGTATTTACGTCAGATGACATTTGAATGTAAATTTCGAGTTAGATCGAGAATTTAATATAAATAAATAAAACGAATCGATTTTCTGTCCAAAAGATTGTGATAACACAAAACTTTTTACTCGAAAATGGGCGACTTTTAATTTTCAAACCCGAAAAAGTGTCATAGCATCAGAATTCTTTTTAATTCATTTAATTTATTGTGTTTTCAAGGATGAAATGACAAATATTAAGTTTTTGATTAGTTTTGTTTCTATCAATTAATCACTTTTTAAATTCCTTTGTTGAACAAAATTATAATCATTGTTGAGTAATAATCCACAATACGGTCGCGACAAACAATGCCGGGTGGAGTTAACAATCATTTAGCGAGAAAATACTCTTACGTCATAATGAAAGATAATTGGTTCGAGTTCGCGCCGTTATCAAACACGTTTGTTCCATTATGATGAAATAATTGTTAGTTACAACAAACAATCGCTTTAAAGAAATCCATTGTTTGTCGTTGTTGTCATCCAAACGACTCTATAACAGGATTATATGTTCAATCATATTTGCCTTAAGCATTTTAGAAATTCTAAATTTTAAATTTTTTTTTCGAAATGTAACATGTTTGAACATTAATAAGCATTAACTTTTCGTCGAAATAATGATTAAAACCGAATAATTCGAAATTAAAATTTATTTTTAGAATAATAATCTATTAATCCTATATTGTTTATATTATCTATGTTATGGTTTTATTGACAATAGGATTTCTGGAATAGATATTAAAAATACATATTTCAGCAAATAATCCACTTTAAGCCATCGAAAGTATTTAGTCTTATTTTTTTACCCGGAATTCGAAAACTACGGAGAAAATAGCATTATCTGAAAACTATAAGAAATATTACAAGGATTATATTTTTTAAAAATGCGCTTATGATATAAACAATAACGCAGAAAGTTAAATTAAAAAAAAATGACAAGACTTTAAAATTACCAATGATGAACATAATTAATCAGTTTTGTTAAAATAACTTTGCGTGTATTTTCTAAGTTCTTTTATTCAATCATATGCTTTAGCTGAAAAAAATTGTGTTTTTCGTATCAGGTATATTGGCGCATACGTTTCTTTGAAAAGCGTTCTCAATTTATATTATTATCGCTAATATAAAGCAGTTATTGATACATGAAAAAGGGACCGGATTTTAATACTTTTCTCTTCACCTAACTAAAAATCGCCCGTCAAAGGAACAAAATTAATAATAACAATTTCCCGGAATCTGTAGGAATCCATTTAAATGAAATGGCATTTGAAAATAATAATAATTAAACCAAAAATATAATATATCTTACCTTCTGTATTGGGTATTGGAGCAGCTGTTGTAAGAAAGCTTAATCCGAGTAAAATAAACATTGCAATCATGTTCGCGTTCGCGCTAATTACTTTTGTCGACAGAATTTTTGTTTTCATAATTTAAATCGTTGTTTCAATACTTCTTAGTAAACGGATATCAGCACTTAGAAACACATTTCCAAAGTTTTCAACCACTTGAAATAATCCGTTTGTAAAGTGTGTTTTCCTGCAACTGAGGTGTTTTTTCAAAAAAGTTTAATCCTTTTTACGGGAATTTCCGAACCCTCTTTAGAATATGTGTATCTTATTATATTTAATCTGTAATATAAACAATGATAATTAGATTCGTTCACGGGACATTAAATGATCAACGAAAAATGTTTAAATGCTCGACAGGTGATCAAATCTTTCCTGGAATAAATTCAACTCAAATCTAATTTGTTCTGTTTAGTACCTCTGGCGCGAAAAAATGCCATTTACAGTGAATCCATCTTACCAACCTAACACTTTTTATATTTACTTCAACCTAAATAATACCATTCAATGACTCCCGTTTTATGTACTCTCTCTAACAATTTCGTTACTTTCTAGTACAAAATCTGACATTCAACTCAAAGATAATTTGTTGAGTTAAGAACCATTTGCACGAATAATGTCATTTGCCGCGAATTCGTCTGTATATAAACAATCTATCTATTTGCTTAAATTAATCTTTTCATAAAAACTATGGTCGTAATTTCGGCAGACACAAATGAGCCGGATAAAACACTTCGTTGGGCCGTAATTCGCCCTCCCATGTTGTATACACAACAGGGAACACACTGCCTATTGCAGGGTGGTCCAAACCCAGGCCCGCCACTTCATAATCTTTGGCCCGCGTCGCATTTGGAGAGGAATCAAAAAATTGCATTTCTTGTTGTTTCGTCGTAAAATTAACCAAAAAATCTTTTGTCATATTGTTGCATCACTAATGTCACTGAATTTATTAGTGTTATGGCTGGCTGAGGCAACGAACGAAGTTCTTGGCACTATTGTGGCCCGCGAACAATGCAAAAGTAATTTTATGGCCCGCGAATCTGCCAATCTTGGACCACTCTGGCCTATTGCGTACAAGTTCAATAACAATGTTAGAAATAAGTAAACTACTGTGTATATATATATATATATATATATCTTGTTTAAATTACCACTTGGAACGCGCGAAAACTTAACAATAGGTATTGTTGCGTAACAATAGTAATTATTTCTTATCAAATTCAGGTTTAATGCTTTAATTATGACCTCATAGTAATTATAATCAAACTTGCAAGACTTGGACGCTAATGAACTCTGGAGATAATGAAGCAGCAATTAAGCGGCGTCTACGCAAAAGATGGACCAGTAAATTAACTTAACGTAAGAAACATGGAATTCGATAGTCCCGTAATAAATTTCTAACTTTCGGGAAAGATTTTCTATGCTATATCAATGCTGTACAAAGAATTACCATTACTACACGGGTTGTCCATAAAGTCCTTTTACAATTTCAATTTTGTTATGAAGTCAGTTGTCAATATATCTTAACCAGGTTTATTGATTTTTAATCAGTAATTGTTAAAGTATTTTACTTCATTTAATACATCTGTGAGGGCCAAAACAATATATGGTATCGATAAATCCCCTTTGCAATTTTAAAAAATTGTTAAGACTTTGTGGACACTCCATACTTTCAATTTGATTTCGTGTTGGTTGAAATGACTGTTTGCTTAAAACTGTTTGTTCTATTCATATTGCACATATTTCTACTTGAAGCCACAACTTTTTATTAAAATGCTAACTTGTTTGCCTGTTTTACATCAAGTTGTGTAAATGAACTGAAACCGATGGACAGGGGCTAACACAGACAGTCCCCGACCTTGTAATATAACTAAAACAAGGAATATCGGAATAAAATTATGACCTGACCCCCCACCTGGTACTCATACTTCGCGAATACCATCGGTTCTATCTCTTTCCATAGAGCACAATTATTACTTTCCATTATAATTATAATTATCGTCTTCTAACAGCTCCCCTTCAGATAACTTGTTTGCAATGATACGTCATTTTATTGAGAAATAATTTGTCTGCATTTACATGTATCGAAGCCCTCGGGCCTTTATAACTTGTTCCATTAAAACGATCGTTATGTTGTTTATACTACGCCTACTGATGAACGGCCATATTTAAAACAACGATAAATTGAGTACTTAAAACTACTGTTTTATGTTAGGACCATGGTTAATAAATTATGATAGAAGTGTAAATCAGGTGTTTACAACAAAAAAAGTGCGGCATTTTAGCTGCAACTTCGAAGCGAGAGAGTGGTGAACAAGCAATAATGCAATTATGGAAAAACAAAATGGAAAAAAAAATTATTTACTACTCATTTGCACATGATAATCACAAAATTCAAGTTCATGTGGCTGAAACAAATAACTGTCTAACTAATCCCATACCCGACATGGACTAGTAACCGGACGAGAGGCCGTGGTTCACCACAGGTTTTTGGGCGTTTTCCCACGTTTTGGCAATTTTTCTAGTGTTGTTGGACGGCTTTTCTCTCCCTCGGGATCATTATTGAAAATCTCATCCTATATGACCGACATTTCAAATTATGCAGATAGTTCTTTCCAATGGGTGCTCCAGAACTATTCGTACCAAGATGACGCACATTCCCAACCGGGTACACAAACTATGTTCATGTTGTGCGCCATCTTGGTACGAATACTTTGGGAGCACCTTCCAATGTCCTATGGCGGTTGTCTGGATAGACGTTCTAACAGCGTTAGCAAAAGCTATGTCTCACGCTATGTTAACCTTGTCGGCTCCATTTTGCCTTCTTGATTCTCAATACGATACAGAACTGATGTAAGTCTGTTATTCATTTCGATTTTTATACCAACACCCACATTATCGCGCGCGAAATGTAACAATACTCTTTAATATGATAACACAATGTAATTTTCCTTATCAAAACCATGTTCAATGCCATAATTATTGCATAATAGTCGGTGTGAGGCAATGCGCGAGACTCCGGCGCTAATGAGGTCCGAGTACCTATTACTCGTCCCAAACGCAATTCAGATATCTCGCGCGCGTTTGTTTTTTAATAAGCGATAAAACTTGACAGCGTAAGTTCACAAAAGTAGGTATAATTATCGTAAAGCTTCTTTTATGATTTGAGGTTTGAAGTCAGAAAATGTGGTCTGATTTAAATCGCTTGAGTAATTATAGAATTCAAATTAAAATAGCGCATCAGCCGTTAAAAAAAGCATGATAGCCTGATAAAAATTTAATTTCAAATTAAGAAAATGAGTTATTATCCAGTTAGGGTTACGAATGATAATTACTATTTTTCTCATTCTTAGCGTTGGCGAGGGTGTTTGTTTGGCGGGCTTTGCCAAAAAAAAAAATGGACGAATACAAACAACCACGGCCGTTATTATATTAAAATACATGAGAGCGCAATGTTTATATATATATGGACACAAAAATAATTTTTTCTTTGAAATCGGGGCATCTCGTTTTTGATTGTACTTGGCCACGGCCTATCGTTCTTGCACTAGAAATTTAATTGAGGTGTCATATTCTAATACTATGACATCACATTCTGTTAATATGATGAAATATCGTCGCCACTTTCGGTCATTAATTTTTCTTGTTCATATTCAACAACCACGAACCGCCAATATGTCTTTATCAACAGTACTATACTTAATATTCCACAATTTAAATTAGTAAACACATTTACTGCAAAAACTAACTCTTTTCACAATTTTTTCATAAAGTACTACCCAATAATTATCTAAATTACAAGCGGTATTTACAATGATCATTTGTTTGTCTGGCAATCCCATGTATTCAAAGAATGCATCGTAAGGTAAATACCAGTCCTGCGGGAACTCGCGTAGTGTGTGTACCAGGTTAGGGTTAGGCCATAATTTTATTCCAAATTTCCTTATTTTAGTTTTATTACGAGTTCGGGGACTGTCTGTGTTAGCAAAGTGAATACACCCACCCCAAAGGTTTCAGTCCCTTTAAACAACTTGATGTAAAATAGGCGAACAAAATTAGTTACCTCCATATTGATACACACACTTCTGGAGCGCACTGATGAGAATAAACTTGCATAGCTGACGCAATTCTAAAGTGTGTCTGCTGAATATGAATTATTCAAGGTCAAAGGTAAGCCTTTTTTACTACGCAGTGGCGTATCTACGTAAAATGGCGCCCATTGCAAAGTTTAAAATATCGTTGACTGACAATTTTTAACGACTGTAGTTGATTTGAGATACTTCTGCGTCAGTATATACGTAAAAATACGGGTCTTTGATAGAATGCCTAGCATACACCACTAAAAGTGAGAGATTTGAAAAAAAAACTTTCGCCACGCTTTAAATAAAATTTTAGTAAGTATCGAGATGGAGTTAGGAATGATTTAAAAATTTAAACTTTCAGCGCAATCTGCTTTTCTAACCCTAACTGGATAACTGGCGAGAGCATTGTACAAAAGATCTATAATTCTTTATTTCTGGGTGAGCGCGCCTAACCTTGCTTCGTGCAAACTACCTTCCTTAAAAATGACGTACTTTCTTTTTACTTCTGGTTTAGTATGTGACCTTGCACAGCTGACAAACTCAAATATTTTTTTACGTCCCACGTCGGCCGGCATTCGGTAATTCACCAATATACTTCCGTATGTTTGCGCAATTCAATGGTCGCCGTTAAATTTGCTCCGCGATGAGTTTCCTTTACTTCCGAGTTGATGCGCGTTGTATTGAGCAGGGTCCCATTCAAAAATTTGTAACATTCCGATTCGAAAAACTTGCTCAATGCATGAATATATTTCCGCAGCAATTAGTAATTCAATGGCCGCCGGTGAATAGGCTCTGATATGTGTGCTCTCGAAGTATTCGTACCAAGATGGCGCACAGCCTAACCATAGTTTGTGTACCAGGTTAGGTTGTTCAGGTTGTGCGTCATCTTTGTACGAATTTTTCCGAAGCGACTGATATGCATTCGTTAACTTATGATTTAATGCACGTTTCATTGAGCAATTTCCCATTGAAAACTTTGTAACATTCCGATTCGAAAAACCCGCCCAATGCATCAATATACTTCCGTAGCTATTAGCGATTCAATAGAGGACTTATTTATTGATGTGCGTTGCAACAAGCAATTTCCCCAAAGTACCATTCACAGACCGGCGTCGAAATGCGCCGATGTACTTCCGTAACTATTAGCAATTCATTAGCCGCTTCATTTACTTCTATATTTCTATAATTCATTTACTTCTATGAAAAAAATTTAA